ACCAAAGTCCAATAACATCTATTGGCTTTATTTCCTTATATTTTGATTCTTTTTTTGATTTGGGATTTTCTGGCTCAAAAAAGTTTAAATTTAAAAAAAAAAAAAGATTATTATAGATACAGTGAAGTTTGGTAAGTTTTTCATCCTTTCCAACCATCTCAAAGTGCATTCCCTTAACCGGACATCGACATCGTAGCCGGACTTAAGCACAGGGTCCCTGGGTGTCCGCTTATAGGAACTTTCACTGTAGCACAGTTGTATCAGTTCGCATTCTGTTTGACTGAAAAATCAGTTTGTCCCTTGGCTAATAGTTAAGATTTGCCGAATTTAATCTGCGATTTAAAAGTGCATTTGAATACTTGCAAATAGAGGGTATAGTGCATGTGAGTTCTAGAGTCAGCTCTATGATTCACACTGTATAGTTCTCCCTGTTATAACTTTTAGGTTAACATAACTGTAAGACTATTCGATGAAGCGCATACAACGGTCACCCTGACCGAAGCTGAACTCAACGAAGACAAAACTCGAGCAGCATTGAACCTGGGCGTGCACTGTGCGTGAGTGCGGCCGCAACGACTGCGTGTGTGCGCCACACAGGAGCTGAGAGGACACTTCTCTGTGCTGTCAAGGGTGAGTCGATCTGGCTGGTTATTGAATGTGTGTGTAGGTTGAAATACGAGAGGTTAATCAACGGCAGCAAATGCGTTGTCAAGAAAATCACACACATGCACATGCATTCGCTCATTGGGAGAGTTTTATAGAGTCTATGCGCTATGCTGAGAGAGTAGGCTAGCGGATTTATACATACATATGTAGATCAAAGTTTCGTCCAGTTCGGCAACTTTAAGAACTAACGCAACGGTTGACGTTGAGCTGACCACGCCTAAGAGCGGAAGGGCAAAAACAAAGCGAAGCAACAATCAGCAACCCATTTTGATAGTTGAATCAACGCACACATACACGCGCGCACACATATACATAGACGCGCGCACGGCAATCTCATACGCCCCAAATGGCACCCCAGTCAGGCTGTGGTATGTCTGTGTGTTTGTGTGTATGCAGATCTTGATTATTCCGAGGTATTTTTTTTTTCAAAAATGGTGAAGGAAATTCTAACGATAACAATGCCAGCGCTAATGTGTATGAGTGTGAGGCAATTACAGCACACACATACACGCGCGCGCGCTCTACGCTAATGAGGGCAAGCGAGCCGGCGTGCGAGAGAGCGAGAGCGCAATAAACTAAATTGAATCCAGTGGAAAAAAGCACGCGCAAAGCAATTTACGCTGATTATACATTTGTCATTTTTGTATAAAATGTACAAAAGCGCACAGCACACACACACACACACACACACACAAAACCACTAACACAGACGCACGGTCATGCTGACACGTTGGACACACACTCGTGCGCTCGCTCACACTGCGGCGCCAGCGACAACGACAACGACCCCCCAACCAGCGCCAACAACAATAGCAACACCAACTACAGTCAGACCCAACAAGTTTGAGTTCATAATTCGAAACGTATCAAAAAAAAAAGAGCGCATGCTCCGCATGGCTTTTTGTACAGTTGAATAAGACATAAGAAGAGGCGCGCTAATAAGAAAAAACTACGTACAAAAATACAACAACAACAACAACAAAATACAAAAAGTCCAACCATAAAAAAATCCAATACACACAAACTGCCCAGCCAAAGATGAAGCCGGATCAGCACACACACGCACACACACACACACACATACGAATAAACGGGCCGCAATCAAAAACCAAATAAAAGGCATAATAGAGAAGAGAGAAACAGCAGGCAAAAACACTTAACAAGCGTAAAAATAATATGGCGGCAGCAGCAGCAACAAAAACGAAGCAAACGAACGAAACACCAAAATGTTTCGTGCCATCGTTCGTTTCAAGCAACGAGCCTCACATCAACAACATCAACGTTGCCTGTCATTGCCAGCCGTGGCCCAAAAGCAAAAACAACAGCAACGGGCATCGAACACACAAGCATACATATATCGATGAACATTTGTGTACGTCGACTACAAGAACAGCCCAAAGCGGCGCATACACAGATACAAACAGTTATACGGGGCAGCACACACAGTCAAACAACAAAATGAAAAATGGAATGCTAGAGCGTCGGCCAAGGCACACTGGTGCAAGACTGATATATTTGTGCGTTTGCAATTTATTAAGTATACGGTGGGGCTTTTATATGAATATGTATTTGTTTTTTTTTTTATTAAATATAAATAAATGTCAGTATTAAAATACTGATAAAAAAGTGATTGAATTGCTTTTTGAAGAAAATTAAATTTGTTAACACTAAATTTTAACTAACTTAAAAAAAAATGTTTTTTATTTTTGGAAGTGCATGACAAAACACGTTGGTTCCCTCGAATAATAATAAAAATAATGATGATGATAATTATACATACAATTTTTATAATATGCTCAACATGTGGCAAAAATTATTTTTTAGTTATTGTTTTCTTTTTGTTTCTGTATGTTACATCTAGATGTACATTTGTGCATACGGCAAGAACTGCTCACCACTGTGCAAACGCTGCATGAAGATTAACAACAACACAAAACCATGGTAACTTCAACAAAAAAAAAAATCCGCAAGAGTGGTAAATCAACGGGTGCCATCAGTCACAATCATATCCAAGCAAAACGCGTAGCATTACAAATGAAAATGTCGAAACGACAAAAGCAGCAGAAACAACAACAACAACGTAATAAAATGAAACGGAAAAAAAATGCAATTCAAATAATCATATTGCAACGCAGACCACTGTACGACCGAGCGAGCAAGCGAAAGCGAACGATTGCCTCTTTGCCTCTATACCCGTGGTACCCCACCACCCCGATGCCAACAACGGTCCCGGCTGAGGCCGACAAGCAAAACTAATAATAAAATACAGCCGCTGTCGTTTGCTAGTCAGCTCAGGTATGTATGTATGCATGTATGTATGACTGTATGAGTGTATGCGATGGTGGTGGTGGTGGCAAATGCGAAATCGAAAAAAGAAGATGAAGTATAGCAAGCAAGCCAGCAGCAGTAGCAACAACGGCAACAGCAACAGCAACAGCAACAACAACCACAACCACGACGAAGCGACATTCAAGTATACAGACACAGAAAACTGGTATTACGTTCAGCGACGAGGGCGGCAGTGCTAAGGCAGCGGGCAGGGTGGTTGACAGCGCGCATACACACGCACACAAGTACTGACACACACACATATAATTACATACACATGTATGCATGGATGAATGCGGCACAACGGGCGCGAAAGCAAAAGCAAATACAATACACATGCCCGCCAGCTGTGTAGCCTCGTTTTTTTTTTTTCTTTTTTTTTTTCACGTACATTTTTTCTTTCGTTCGCACACACCCCCAAAGCGCACACAACAAAACGCTACGAACAGCGAGTAGTCGGGCTATTGCTGTTGCACTCGCACTCGACGGTCATGGCATGTGACTGGCTATTGGCATTGCACTCGCACGCCCGCATTTGTTATAGAGAAATGTTATGATGTGCTTGTGTGTATATGTGTGTGTATGTGAGGAAACTCGTTTTCCTCATTAAGCTGCCTGCCAACCCTCCTAAGACTAACACACACGCACACACACATTCACCAATACACATGCGCGCTGCTGCTTCATTTTGTTTCGACAGAGTTGCCGCCGCCTGCGCGCGCTTCAGTCTGTATTTCAACTTGGGAGCGTACGGTTTGTGTTTTGTCGACCTCAAAAACGTTCGCTCGCTTGCGCTGATCTGCCCAAACGCCAGTCGAGATACAAGATACAACGCGACGCGCTACGCACACATATACACATGCACGCATGTATGAATAAAGACAAATCGACAAATTAACAGCTGGATTTTTTAATATTTTTTTGTGTTAAAAGTTTGCAAGTTCAATAAACAACAAACAAATCCAAACAAATATACAAGATACATGCTGCAAAGTGAAAAGTTATGCTGCTGCCGTCGCAGTCGCAGTCGCTGCCGACGCGCGCAGTGAATTTGTGTGCCGCCTAACAAAAATTATGTTGCTAGAGTTGTCGCCGCGTTTTATGTAAGCCGAAAGCAGAGCCAACGCTTAAAAACCCCGCCAATCAACCGCCCCCATTGCCCTACACGCCCCTTAAGCGCCCACGCTCATCACGTGTACAGGTGCTTGGCCAATGCAGCCTTAAAATACAGCTGTAAAAATTGAAAAATTAATGAAAACAAAAATGATTTCAAAGTGAAATAAAGCAGGCACTGCATTAATTGTGAGCCATCGTCGACGCAGCCGCTGCAGCGAGTGGAGTATGTACTAATTATTGCTCTCGTGCACGAAACGCTCATTTACACGCCTCAGTCGCAGTCGCAGTCTCAGACAGCCAGCGTACACACACAGACATACAATATCTGTATATATACATAACATATATACATAATCACACGTACACGTACACGCACGCACACAGCGACACTGACACTGAGACTGACGCTCGGCGAGACATTTTTTTTGTGTACATTTTTGTATGTTTTTATATTGTTGTTGTTTGCAACAAAGTTTTACGTTTACGTTTTTTGCCTGTTTATATATATATATATAAATGTAAATGTATATGTTTATTGCCTGTCTCGTATACGTTTGTGTGTGTGTGTTCTTACCTCGTATTTGTTATATCTACCAAACTACCAGTAACAACAACAACAACAACAAATAAAAGAAAAAAGCAACAAAATAAAACAAAATAACAAAAACGCAGCAGCAGCAGCAATATGCTGCCAACAGCAATAAAAACAATCAGCAGTCGCAACAGCAGCCGCAGAGCAGCCGCAGTCGCCGTCGCCGTCGCAGTCGCAGTAACAGCAAACAACAGAACATCGCTGCCGTTGTCGTCGTCGTCGCTGCTGCCGTCGCCGCCGCTGACGTCGCCGCATGCATACTATTAATTTATTATACAAATTGTTTTTATTTTAAATAATGGATCGTCGTGCATTGAAGTTTATGCAAAAAAGGTATTTTGTGTTATTTTTTTATTTATTTATTTTTTTGGATTTTGTTTTTGTTTGTTTTGTTTCGTTATCTTTTAGTTTTTAAAATACAACATTTCATTTGCAAACTGACCGAAGCCACTGTTAACAACAGCATACACATATACATACGCATGTGTATGTGTATATGTGTGTCAATGCACTCGCGTTTATTATTACTAATGTTATTTCTCCTTGTTTTTTTTTGCCACTGTCACACACGCACACTAACTTCTTGCTCTCTCTCTCTCTCTTTCTCTCTCTGTCTCTCACTTTGCGCTTCTACTTCTATATTTGTTATTATTACATCGTAACCGCGTCTCAGGTTCGCTTTAAGTGTGACCCTCGCAGCGCAAGAAATATTCTTATGCTGTGCACACACTGATTTTGTTTTCATATCGTTTTATATACCACATTGTTTTTGTTGTGACTATTTCTCTGGATATTTGAATTTTTTAGTTTTTCTTTTTTAATAGATGTTCATAATTGCAGCGTTGCCTTTGGCGCGCAGTTCAACTGAGCAGCGTTTTACAACACTGCTGCAACAATGACAAATGTGTACAAATTCAAACAAATGCATGTGTGTGTTTGTGTGTGTGTGTATATATAAATATATGTGCGTGTCGTTTCTGTTTGACGTCCCATCATAATCATGCTTGTACTTGAAACGCTCTCGTTTAGTTGAAACAAGCAAAAATCCAAAAACGAGTTTTTTGTTGCCCCATCTGCTCAGCTCTTGCAGTGTTGATAAAACACTGCAGTCACAGTCGCAGGCAAATACATACTCATATATACACGCACAGCAAATTTCGCAATGTATACACATCGCGTATGTGTGTGTGTGTGTGTGTGCGTGCTCGTGTGTTTGTAAATTTGTTGGTGGTTGATTTTCTTTTACTTTTCGCAGCATTGAAAAGCAAAAGTTCTAAGCCAAAAGTAACATTTTTTTGCCGAAACCGAAACTGCAGGCGGCATTAAGCAGCTCCCGCTCACCGCACCAGAAGAAGACGAAGACGAAGAAGAAGAACATGAAACAGCAACACCAACAACAACAACACAACAACAGTCCGTGGAGCTCATTAGCTCTCTCTGTCGCGCGCGCGTGGCCTCCCATAGCCCGAAGTAAACAAAATTTGAGGCGCGCTGTAGTGTTGCCATCAGGCCAAAAAGTCTTCACTATTAAATATAAACAATGTACTTTAATTGAATATAAATATGAGTTTAGATGCCCTTGTAATTGTCGTGCAAAAGTAGTTATTGCAACTTTACATTGCTTCTCTATGAAATCTAATCAGCCATGAATCAAATATTTGCATGCTTCTGAACTCATAATGTTCTACGTTTGTTTTTTTTTTTTTTTTTTTGGCTATTTGCTTATAATTTGATGTATGCGATTGTGCATTCAATTTGCTGTGTGTTGGCAACTCTACAATAACACCAACACCAACTTATGCTCTTTCTCTCATGCATTTGGCACATGTGTTCGTGTGTGTTTTGAGCTACGCTCGTCATTTGACAAGCAACCAGTGCCATCTCGCTCACACTTACGTATTCGCCATACACCAGCTACAAGGGAGACAGCATTACCGTGCACTCAATTGTATCTGTATATTCGCATTCGTAGTTCAATGTGTGTGTGTGTTTGTGTTTGTGCTTGTGTTTGTTGTTGGTAGTTGCGGCCTGGCATGCAGAAATGAAACCCGTTCGTATAATCAATATGTAGTCATCTATTTTCGTCTCGTCCCCGCCACCTCCTATCGCGTCCACAGGTTGAATGCCCCAACAACCACCAAATGTAATTTTGCACGCATGTTTCTCGCAAGAAATTTTATTTTATGTTCTATTTTGTTGCTGTTGTTGTTTTTGTCGCTCTCACCTGCATGCTAGCTGCGCGCGCTCTCCCTAGCTCTGTCTCTCTCTTACCCACTCATACTTTAATCTGTTTTTTTTTCTTTTGCTAGCTCATTTGAGCGCATGCTCGTTCTGTTTGCGTCGTCGGCATTGTTATCAATCTTCGTGCAACTCAATTTGGTTAGAAGCGAACATAAAATTGATGATGGCTGTGCGGCATTATTATTACTGCTTTTGTTATTGTTGGGTTGTTAATGGCACTGACGGACGCTCCCCACAGGCTCTCTCAGCAGCGAGCTGGCAAAACCACTCAACGGTTCAGGCTCTCACTCTTTCTTCCTCTCCCATACACACACACACAAACACACACACAGGCACACACAAAATCAAGCATCAAACCAGTCTTGAGCTGCAAGTTTTTTTTTTTTTTGTTTTTTTGCTTTTGCTCTTCTGACGATGAGAAGGATGCTGCTGCTGCTGCGTCTGGCACAGCGTCTAGTCGTCGGTTTTTTTTTTCCTTTTTATTTATTCCGTTCCACCAGCTTTCGCTTACTCTTTGCCGTTTGCGATGCGTTTCGGTGGGGGCGGCGTGCGACCTTAGCATACCCAGCAGCAACCCTGACGCATGCATGAAACACCCCTGACCGATTTCATGGCTTGCCAAAACCGCCCACTGCTGCGGCCACCTTCAACTCCACCACTCCGCCCCTCCCTGCTCCCTTGCCTTGTGCCGTCAGTCCTGTTGCCAGGGGTAACCCTAATGCTGCGCCGGCTCTAATAACCTCTGCACAGTTTCGCTGGTAGTTTTTTTTTTTTTTTTTTTTTTTTTTTGCTTGTTTTTTATATTTTATATGCCTCACGGGCATTACGAAGGCGGCTGTGGGGGATTTGGTGAGACTGTGGCAGCGTCAGGAATTGGTCTTGGTGTGGTTAACTTGTGAAATTTAAAACTAAATTTGGCTGGTTTTTATGTCTCGTCTGTTTTTTTTGTTTTGCTTATAACAGTTTTTATTTTCGGTGCTCTGAACTGAAGTTTGGCAACATCGAATGAAGTTAGTTAATAACCTTCTCTTCTTTTAAGCTGGTTTGATTTGCACTCTCAGAATTTACTTTTACAATTTTGTGTATAAGCATCTACAAATTATTGTTATATTGTTTTTTATTTACTCTAACTTGCTTAACAACCGTTGAATTGCCCTATCTTTACGCCAACTGGCTGCTATGTTGCCAAACTTCACACTGACACATATGCATTTATGCACTTTGTTTAACATTTTCAGTTGGTAACTTGCGTACATACAATATATTGAGCTGCATGAGTCCTAAACAACGCTAACTGCACAATGCAGCTCTCTCACTCTCTCTTACCCAGTCACTCTCTCCCGGTAAGCTCGTTCAGCTGTACGCCTCTCCCACGCAGCTCGTCTAACTGCATCTCTCATTCGTCAGCAACTCCTTCTAAATGTTTACAGTTTACAATTGACGTCAATAGAGAAGCACATGCACGCACGCACCCATACACAGAGACACACGCAAAAAGGAAGATGTATATGTGTGTGTGTGTGTGTGTGTATGTGTTGTCCGGGACTTTTTAATGCAGCCTCCACATCATTTGTAAATGACCTCCTTCGTTAGCATTAGTTACTCGCGCTCGTGTGTGTGAGCCACATTTACAGTTATGTGGGTCAATGATAGCAGCTTTAACGACCCCAAAAAAACTTCACATGCTGCATAATAAGGCACTAGATCGAAGTTAAGGTCTATCGAGGCGGGGTTCGTGTTGAAAGCTGGTCGCAGGAAAGGACGTTTATTGATTGAAATTTAATACCAGGCAGGTTGAAGTCAACATATGTTTTGTCGCAACTGTTTTTGTTAATAAAAATGATTGAAAAAATGGAAAACTTAAAATTGAAGTTGTTAAAAATCATCTGAAATTGAACCGAACCGTCGTTTTCCGACCCTTAAACTTTAATTAAATATTGACTTAGATAAAAGATTAAACTATAATCTAAATTTGTTACGTGTTAAAATGTTGTACTAAAATATTATTAATAAATTAAAAACTGTTTAATAATGTTCGTTTAGCAAGTTGAAAATTTAGCAAAAGCATGCAAGTTTTTTCTTGTAAACACTTGCACATGAGATTGTGAATGATCTTTGCATGTGACTCTCGCTGTAGGTTCGCTCTGTGTTGAGCTTTTTCGTTGCTTTTACTTCGCTGCAAGAGCGCGTGTGTGTGTGAGAGAGAGGGAGAGAGCAAGCATGCATCGCCCACGCTTTCAGCATTTTTTTTTTTTATGCATTTCTTTCTGGTCTTTTGCATGCAAATGGCGGGTGCTGCCAACCTGTTTGTGGATTTGGCATTGCTTTTGCTCTGCTCTTTGGCATTGCTTTTGCTCGTTGCTTTGCGTGTTTTATTTATTTATTATTATTATTTTTGTTCGTTTCGCTGTGCAAATGTTTGGCCAAAATGTTGCATGCCGCACGCCGTCGCAAACGTTCCAAGTGTGTGTGTATATGTGTGTTTGTGTGTGTGTGTGTGTGCGTTGTGCGCCTTTTGATTTGTTTTTACTAATTTATTTGCCCAATTTCTCTTTCTGATGCAGAGCGGACACTGAAAGCGATACAACAACAACAACTACAACAACAACAGCAAACACATTAACAGCAACATCAGCAGCAACAACATTAGCAGCAGCAGCAGCAGCAACAGCAACAGCAACAATTTTAACAACAGCAACAACAACAACAATAACAACTGCGCTTCCATTGAAAGACAACTCGAATATACGAGGCAGCAGCGGCAGCAGCAGCGACAAGTTGCAAACAGCAACGCAGCAGCTACAACAGCAACACAAGCAACAACAACAACAGCAGCAACAGCAACAACAGCAGCAGCAACAACATATTGTCAGCGTTGAGCGGCCCTTGAAGTGCCTGGAGACGTTGGCCCAAAAGGCGGGCATTACCTTTGACGAGAAATACGATTTTGCTAGTCCGCCGCATCCGGGCATAGGCGCCCATACGCCCACGCACAACAACAACAATAACAACAACAACAACAACAACAACAACAATAGTACTAATAATAATAACAACAACAACACGCAGTTGAACAACAACAATCACGTTAAAAACGTTACGCCCACATCAATTGCAACAAGCACTGCGCAGACGCCGCCCTCAGCGCGACGCACAACAGCAACAGCAGCAGCAGCAACAACAACAACAGCAGCAGCAGCAACCACTCCCAACAGCAACAGCTCAGCGCGTTCTCGCAGCGTTTCACGTTCCCGTTCGCGGTCGAGCACGCCCACCTCACGCACAGCAGCAGCTACAGCAGCAGCCGTAGCAGCAGCAGCAGCAGCAGCAGCAGCAGCAGTTGTTGGCGGCACGCTGGAGAAATCACAGAGCCCCGCCCAACAGGTGGCATCCGCTGCGGCGGTGCCACTGCAAATCTCGCCGGAGCAACTGCAGCAATTCTATGCGAGCAATCCGTATGCGGCAATCCAGGTCAAGCAGGAGTTTCCCACACATAATGCTAGCAGCGGCGGCGCCGGCGCCGGCGGCAACAACAGCAACACCAACGAGCTGAAGCATGCCACCGGCCTGCTGGATGCCAGCCAAACGACACAGCTGCAACAGTTGCAGCTGCAACAGCTGACCGCTGGCGATGGCAGCGCTGCGGCTGCTGCTGCCGCTGTTGCGGCCGCCGCCGCTGCAGCCGGCAGTCCAGCGGCAGCGCAACAAAACGCTCTCCAACAGCAGGCGGCGGTCGTTGCGGCACAGCAGCAGCAGCAGCAGCAGCAACAACAGCAGCAGCAACAGCAACAGCAGCAGCATCAGCAGCAACAGCAACAACAGCAGGCCGCACAGCAGCAACACTCGACAGCAATTAGCACCATGTCGCCGATGCAACTGGCCGCTGCCACCGGCAGTGTGCCCGGTGACTGGGCCAATGGACGGACCGTGCAGCTGATGCAGCCATCGACCGGCTTCATATATCCACATCTATCCATTGTCTCCGGGAATCTGTTGCCCGCCGCTCTGGGCCAGCAGCCCATACAGGTGATTGCCGCCGGCAAGCACTTCCAGGGCAGCGCGCCGCAAATGATAACGACGACCACGCAGAATGCCAAGCAAATGATTGGCGGGCAGGCGGGCTTCGCCAGCGGCACCTATACGATACCCTCGAGCCAGTCGCCGCAGACGCTGCTCATATCGCCGGTGAACGTGATATCGCATTCGCCGCAGCAGCAGAGTCTGCTGCAGTCGATGGCGGCGGCGGCGGCGCAGCAGCAACAGCAGCAGCAACAACAACAGCAACAGCAGCAGCAGCAACAGCAGCAACAACAGCAGCAGCAGCAGCAATTGACACAGCAGCAACAGCAACTGACGGCTGCAGCTGCAGCCCAACAGGCGCTGGCTGTCAGCGCTGCCAAGGTGGGCGTCGGCGTCGGCGTCAGCGATGGGCAGGCCAAGCTGCAGCAGAAGGTCGTCCAGAAGGTGACAACCACAACGAACACGGTGCAGGCGGCGAGCGGGCCAGCTGCTGGCGGCGGCGTTGTCGCCCAGGCCCAACAGCAGCAACAACAGCAGACGACCACGCAGCAGTGCGTCCAGGTGTCGCAGTCAACGTTGCCGGGCGTGACGGCCGCCCAGGCCCAGTTGATTAGCCCGCTGCAGGGCACCGCCACCGGGCAGCCGCAGCAGATGCAGCTTGCTCCGTGGTTCTGGCAAAATTTCGGAGGTAGCCCGATCATCTTGCGCGGCCAGCCGGATCACACGTCCGGCATGTTCATCCAGCAGCCGACCCATCAGGCCCTGCAAACCCAACAGAATCGTGAGTTAAACGCAGTTCAGAGAGGACGAGCTCACGACACGAACTAGTTGGCACTGGCAGCTCACTGAACCAGTTCCGTTCAGTTTTTTTTTTTTGCGAAAGGAAAGAGTCGTAGAATTGAGTGAGAAACAGACAGACAGACATGTTAGGCTGGTAGCAGGGTATCTCTTAGTCGGATACTTCCGACTAGAAGCTTTGCTTTGTTTTGTTTGTTTTATTAATACAGAGAATATTGGATAACTTTAGAGCTTTATCTAGAAACCACTGCCGTGATCAATTGTGCATCAATTTAGTTCATTTCCAGTTCCAGGCGTGAACTAGTTACTTTCTAAAGATATTTTAAATAGCAAAGCAATTTTAAATAGAAAATTTATGCGATTGAGATTCATTCTGGTTCATTTAACATAGTTTCAGTCGTGAACTAGTTGCTTTGTAAAACACTTTTGGAAAGAGAGTTTATAAGGCTGAGATTCATTCTGGTTCATTTAGTTCCAGGCGTGAACTAGTTAATTTGTAAAGATAATTCAATTGGCAAAGAAATTTTCAAAAAAGATTTTATAAGGCTGAGATAAATTCTGGTTCATTTAGTTCCAGGCGTGAACTAGTTACAAAGCAAAACAATTTTAAATCGAAAGAGCTGCAATTTTTGTGCGTTTTTCAGCACTAGCAACAGTTCGTGTCGTGTCACCTGCCCATCTCTAGCAGCAACAAACATAGCTAACATTTTTGTTTTGTTTTTTTTTTCGGTTGCATCCACAGAAATCATTCAGTGCAATGTGACGCAGACGCCGACCAAGGCGCGCGCCCAGCTGGACGCGCTGGCGCCGAAGCAACAGACGCAGCAACAGGCGAATGCACAGCAGCAACAGCAGCAGCAGCAGCAACAGCAGCAGCAACAACAGGCGCAGCAGCAGCAGGCGGTGGCAGTGGCAACCGCGCAGCTGCAGCAGCAGCAACAACAGTTGACGGCACAGCTGCAGCGCACGGGTGCGCCCATCTTGCCGCACAATGGTGCCCAGGTGCGGCCGGCTAGCTCCGTGTCCACACAGACGGCGCAGAACCAGAGCCTGCTCAAGGCGAAGATGCGCAACAAACAGCAGCCGGTGCGACCGGCGCTGCCAACGCTCAAGATGGAGAACGGACAGGCGGGCGGTGGCAAGGCCACTGGCAATGCGGCAACGACGCTCAGTCAACATATCGCCGTGCAGCAGCAGCAACAACAGCAGCAGCAACAGCAGCAACAGCAGGCGGCGGCAGCAGCAGCGGCTGCGGCCAATCTGCATCAGGTGGTCACCACGGCGGGCAACAAGTAGGTGGTTTAGTTGTGCGTGTGCCTCTAGATACTTAACATTGCTTCTCTCTCAAACTCTTGCAGAATGGTGGTCATGAGCACCTCGGGCACGCCCATAACGCTGCAGAACGGGCAAACGTTGCAAACGGGCGGCGTGGATAAGCAGCAGCAGCAGCAGCAACAGCAGCAACAGTTGCAGCTAATGAAGAGCCAACAATTGCTGCAACAGCAAATGCTGCAGCATCATTTACTACAATTGCAGCAGCAGCAGCAACAGCAGCAGCAGCAGCAGCAACAACAACAGCCGCAGCAGGCGCAGCAGCAACAGACGCTGACAAATGCGACCGCTCAGCAAATATTGCAGGTGGCGCCGAATACGTTTATAGCCTCGCAGCAGCAGCAACAAGTGCAGCAGCAACAGATGCACAATCAATTGCTGCAGCATCAGTTGCAGCAACAGCAACAACAGGCACAGCAGCAACAGCAGCGCGAACAACAAAATATTATACAGCAAATTGTGGTGCAACAAACAGCCACACAACAGCACCAGCAGCAGCAGCACCATCAGCAACAGCAACAGCAGCAGCAACAACAACAGCAGCAACAACAACAACAACAACAGGCACAGCAGCAGCAGCAGGCGCAACAGCAACAGTTGCAGCTAAGCAGCGTGCCCTTCTCTGTTAGCTCGACAACAACACCCGCTGGCATTGCCACCTCGAGCGCATTGCAGGCCGCATTGTCCGCCTCTGGTGCTGTCTTCCAGACAACTACTAAGACGAGCACCTCGCTGCCTAGCAGCAGCGTGGTCACCATCAGCAATCAAAGCGCCGGGCCGCTGGTCACGAGCAGCACTGTAGCCAGTCTGCAGCAGCAGGCGCAACAATTGCAGCAGCAGCACCAACAGCAGCAACAGCAACAGCAACAGCAGCAGCAACAGCAGCAGCAGCAGCAGCAGCTTATAACGGCCAGCATAGCGGCTGCCACACAGCAGCACCAGCAACCACAGCAGCAACAGCAGCAGCAGGCGCAGCAGCAGGCGCAGCAGCAGGCACAGCAACAGGCACAGCAGCAGGCGCAGCAGCAGTTGTCGAGCAGCACGTTAACTGCTGCGTCGCCCACACAGAATCCCATATTGGCCATGACGTCCATGATGAATGCGACGGTGGGCTTGCCGGCAACAACGCCGCCCGTGAGCAGCGCTGTGGTTAGCACGGCGCTTGTGACGCTCAGCAATAGTATAAGCTCGCTGCCAGCCACGCCTACCAAGGCAATTACCATGAGCACGGCCAGCAGCCAGGAGACGCCCAAACAACAGCAGCAGCAGCAGCAGCAGACGGCGGCGACGACGACGACGACGACGGCGGCGACGACGACAGCTAATTTAGTGACGATTGAGTCGCCCGCTTTACAGGATGCCAGCAAGGCTAACGCGGAGGCAAGCAGCTCCACGGCAGGCGCAGCAGAGGCGCTGCACAATGGCGATGTGGGCGAGGCAACGCCAACAAAGCTGACAGCAACGGCAACACCAACAGTCGCAGCTGCTGCTGTCAAGCAAAGCAATGCCGTGTTGCCCAGCAGCAGCAGCAGCAGTAACAAAGAGGACAACAGCAATGTGAAGAACAGCAGCAACAACGCCAACGTTAGCAGCACAGCGTCCACCAATGGCATTGCCAGCAGCGCGTTGCGTAACATCAGCAGCAGTGCAACAACGACAACAACAACAACAACCACCAGCAGCAGCAGCAACAATAATAACAACAGCAGCAGCAACAGCAATGGCAAGGATCTGCCCAAGGCCATGATCAAGCCAAACGTGCTGACCCATGTCATCGATGGCTTCATTATACAGGAGGCCAACGAACCATTCCCGGTGACACGGCAACGCTATGCGGACAAGGATGCCAACGATGAGCCGCCCAGTAAGTGCACAGAGCCAAATGATGGCAAATCCAAGACTTATGGTAAATCATATTTTGCAGAGAAAAAAGCAGCCATGCAGGAGTCGGATCTCAAGGCGGGCGCAACAGCAGCCAGCACAAGCACGTCGACAGCAACAACAACAACAACAACAATAACAACGGGAGGGAGCACTGCAACAGCAACTGCTGCTGGCATGGCTGGCGGAGCGCTGGTCAGCGTGGCCACGCTGCCAGCGGATATGGTTGCCTGCGAGCAGTGCGGAAAGCCGGAGCATCGCAACAAACTGAAGCGCAAGCGTTATTGCTCGCCGGGCTGTGCGCGTCTGGCCAAGATGGGCGGCAGCAATAGCAGCAACGGCAGCGCCGTGGGCATGGTCGCACCTGATGCATTGGCACTGGCCGACAAGCTGGATGAATCGCTGGCCGAGGAGAAAATGCAAACGGACGCGCTCATCCCCGAGCCGGCCATGATTATAGCTGAGCTGCCGTCGGCCGTGCTGGCAGCGGCAACAGCCACGGCAACAGTTGCAGCTACAGTGACAGCATTGCCAGCAGCCATGCCCAGCAGTAGCAGCAATAACAACAACAGCAGCAATAGCAGCAATGTCAGCGCCGCTGTCGTCGCTGTGGAGCGTCCCTCGATCTGCAGCTGGAGCGTGGATGAGGTCAGCGAGTTTATACGCAAGCTGCCCGGCTGTCAGGATTATGTGGATGATTTTGTGCAGCAGGAGATCGATGGACAGGCGCTGCTGCTGCTCAAGGAGAATCATTTGGTGAACGCGATGGGCATGAAGCTGGGACCGGCGCTCAAAATTGTCGCCAAAGTCGAGTCCATGAAGGAGGTGAATGTGGCGCCGGCGGCTGTTAACGATGGCGCCAAGGAAACGGCCAATGCCGCGCAATAGTGCATAACCAGAACCAGGAATAGTTGCAGTAGTCGACGCCGCAGCAGCAGCAGCAGCAGCAGCAGCTCCTCCTCCTCTGGCAGCCCTAGCGCGCCTCTGTCGCCCGCCTACTCCATAACCCCGCCGCTGTACTCGCCCGTGCTGCGCAGCAAATAGGCGCCACAAAATGCTGGTCTAACCAGCTTCGAGTCGAGTGGCGTTCATTGTGAATGTGATTCACAGCAGCTAATGTTAGGAGCACCGCCGCCTCCTGCCCCAACACACACACACACACACACACGCACAGCATCCAACCCCTTGATAGCCATTCCCTATACCCAAACCCAAGCTCGCAGCTGTAGTTGTAGTCTGTACGTAATTTTAATGTAGCTTAAAATTTGTAAGGCCAATTGTATGATAATGATTGAAAACTCCCAACTAATAATAGCAACCCCTAAGCACCCGCTTAACTCTCGAAACCCCTGCCCCCGCCCGGCCCTGCGCCCTCGCCCATTTAGTGTTAGATCTATATATATACCTTATATAGAATATTTGTAAGGCCTCTCCCAACAATTGTACAATCTGCAGCATAAACTTTCTAAACGTTTACAGTGCTCGGCATATACATATTTAAATTCACTCATATTTAAATAATAATATTTACGGCCCTTCCCCGCCCCCTTCCAAGGAAAAAGGACAGTTAAATACTAAATCAATAATAATAATAATGCTACTATTAAATACTACGGCAAATTTTAGCGTCTAAGTCTTAACTGAATTGAACATAACGAAATACAATTAATTTTTGCATATAGTATTTTTTTTTTTTTTTATCAACCATCAACAGCAATATGCGAATGCACTATGCAATTTTTAAAGAAGAAGAGAAATGAAAGAACTAGTTAATATCTAAATATAACTATAATATACATGCATATACATTAATAGATATACATTAACTATGATTATATCCACTTTTTTTTCCCCTATGCGTAATTTTTACAAAATGCGAATTGGTTCTTGAGCCATGCTACTTTCCATCATGCTAGAGAGAGTTAAACCGGTTGAAATCTGTCGAACCAACTACTGAAACTATTTATATATATATAGATATATGCTATATATAACTGATATATGTAGCTGATTGCAACAACTACGACACACACACACACACACACACACACACACACAATCTTTTTGCTAACGAAATGATTAATGAAAATAATTGATTATATATTATATAGTATAGCATATATACATATTTTTTTTTATAATGCTTAGTTTTAAGCGTCGAACATATATATATATATATATATTATATATTTTTTTTTTCGAAATTGATTTTTTTTTTTTTTTATCGCTATGGCTGAACAAAATACAAAACTTCACTGTATAGTGTTTAATAAATGTGAATATGGAAATTTTTTGCTGTATCTTTTTTCTAGTGGGATGAAAATAAAAACAAATAGATATACTTTATCGCTGGCGTGAGAAGCGCAGAGAAGGGCGGCCAGCTACAACTATTGAGAAAAAGAAGAAGCGAAGTTGCTGCGGGCAATGCTGAGAGAGAAGCTGCTATTGCTACTTTTGGATATCGGAGTGGACGTGAGAAGCGTGGAAAGAAGCACCAGGCAGTGAGAAGCCATGCTACAATGTTATGTGAGATTTAAAGCGAGAACTGAAGAGAGAAGCATATCAATAATGAGAGAGAGAGAGAGAGAAAGAGCGAGTGAGTAGCAGAGTGACAGTGGGAGAACGAGAGTGACGGAGAGAGAGAGAGAGAGAGGCGGGTAGAATAGAGAAGTTACAAATATTAGATGTAAAACAGAAAGAGAGAGTGTAAGAGCGAGAGAGAGACAGAGAGAGGGATAGTGAAAGCGAGAGAATCGGCTGTCTATTATTATAAAGCAAAATGCAATGCTAAAAGGCAAAAGTGAGACAGAGAGCGAGAGAGAGCGAGAGAGAGAGAGAGAGATCGAAGACACGGTCTTCTTCTTTGCTTCTGCTAAGAAACTCGCAGAACTTTGTAAATAAGTTCCCCAGGTTCCCAAAGGCCAGGTATTCCTGTTAATATATTTTAATATATATATTAATATTCCGTTTAATACATGTGGAAAATAAGGATAATACACTTAAGAACTGGAACATTCAACAGATTTGGCACATCTGTCTTGCGCACATGCGAATAGGGTTGCCACCGTGCAAATAAAAGCCAGTGTTGTTTAAGCTATTGTGAAAATATTGTTTTATTTTTATGTTAAAATTCTCTGTTACTTTATATATTTTTGAAATATGCATACATGTTTTGAAATCCCCTTTGATACATAATGAGATTATAATAATTATAATAAATTCAATGAGGGATTCTTTGAACTTTAATGACATTTTTAATAGATTTTTATATGGTCTTTTTTTCTTTTCGTTTTCGTTTTCTTTTTCTTTTCGTATTTATATTTTTTGTTTTTTGTTTTTGTTTTTTTTTCTGTTTTAAGGAAGTTCAAGAACTTTAAAGAGTTTATCAAGTGCGGCTGTTGAAACAAAATACATTATATCGTTCATTTTGGAAATGTACTAATTTCATACAGAATAAGTAATAGTAGGTAATGCCCATGGCATCCTGCCCTAAGTGGGCTAACGGTTCAGCCAGATGCCCGGTATACTCTGGATATACGGCTTATATAAAAACTTTTATCGAGGTTTCTAGTGGCAAAGCTTTTTCGACTGGCTCCGGATTATATATATTGTTTACCATTCAAATATATGTCGGTTTTCTTACATTTTCAAGGGATCTATCTAAGAACTGAATCAGTTAAATACCGACTCGCATCATTTTACAAATGAGCGTGACGTAACTGACGCAAGGTAAATTATTTGAAAATTGTTTTTAGTTATTTTTTTTTTTATTAATAAGTTTTTTAAAGCCAATTTTGCGTTTTCTTAGTGAGAGTGTATAAATGGAAATAGGTATTTTTTTTGGTATTTTATTTGTTGGTATTTAGTAGTATTTTTAAAGCGCTTTATCATTGGATAGTATTAATTAGTTTTCTGGTTTCTATTTAAATTTGTCGATTTATCATCTTAAAAATACACATTATTTAGGTTTATGACTTCCTATGAATTGTTTTTTTTTTTTTTGTTGGTTTTTATATTGTTTATATTTAATGCATAAATATACTATATATGTTTGCATATTGGTCAGATATTGTGGCATTCGAATTGTACATTCAGTTAAGATCATTGTTTATTGTTTCTGCTTCATTTCGTACCCCTGCAGTAGATAGTTTGTTGGGGAACTGAGGAACCGGAACTGAGCAATTTAATACCAAATAGAAGGCTTCAAATTGAAGAAGTTTTATTATGTGAGAAACCAGAAAGAATCATTTTTAAAAGATTTCAAATACTTTAAATACTAAATCAAAGGTGTTTTACACAAGGCAACAGAAGAAGCCTTTTTAAAAGTATTTAAATACTATAAATACTAAATTTGTGGATATAATTTGAGGAAGTTGTATTAAAGAGGTACCAGCAAGATTTCATTCAAATGGTTTTGAAGACATGAGAAGTTAAAAGGAAGCTTTTATTTAAAGCAAGGAAACAGGAAGAACCCATTTGCAAAGACTCAAAGATACATTAAATACTAAATACTAAATATATATGACTATAAGTTAAAGAATTTTCATTAGATAAGGAACCAGACGGAAACAATTTTGAAAGATTTTATAGACAATAAAAGGCTATAATTTGAAAAAATCGTTCTATTTCGGACTATATCTTAGATAAGGTCGGGAAATAAACATTGCTTCTATTTGCTTGGAGAACATTGAAATTTGAATATTGGCTTTCGTCGGGAAATATCATATGTAGAGCTTGTTCATCTCACATCCATATACCCTATATGAACTGCAGGGGCCATTTTTAACGACATAGCCGTAAATGAGTTTTATCCTTCATTATTTTTTTTTTTGTTTTTTCTTAAATACTTTTCCTGGTTATTCATAGACTAGAGAAAGCTTGTTTACGTTTGAGCCTCTTGCTCGAGGCCCTTATCCCATTTGTTGTTGTTGTCATTTAAATTATTAAATATTGCAATTAATATTGTTTTGGTTGCTTTTCATATCGTATATATTATTTACAGTTGTGTGAGGCAAACAAAAAATTGTCACAGCCGTACTCCTTAGCATATCGTATATGTGTATACACAACGCAGGCATTGCCCATTATTGTGGTGTTCACTGTAGCTATCGATAATTTCTAGAATCTTATCGTTTTGTTAATAACACTTTTTGCTTTGTATTCGCAATCTTAAGTATTTGGTTTATTTTCATTGGATGCTTGTTTAGACGTTTGCTTTAGCTGGTCCTGCAATATGCCTGGAAATCAAATAAAGTTGATCTATTTTAATCGAAAGAGACGCTTCAAATGCTTAAGTTCTACAATTCGGAGAAAATGAATCGAAACTCAAACCTAGTTAGAGGTTTTTTTTTTTTATTATTTTAGAAGTTTTTTTTGCGGCTATTAAAATTGCTATTAAGGATTTGAGTTATGGTTTTTTTTGTTTTTTTTTTGTTTATTCAAATACTTTTACTGTGTTTTATTAAAGATTTCGATTAGTTGTTAAAGTTTGTTATTGGCTGGCAAATGAAATGAAAAATTCTTTACTTTTGAGGTTAGGTTTTTGTTTTTAAGGTTAGGTCCTCTTAAAGGTGTTATCTGTGTATATTTGACAGTTCCTTCGATGCTTGCTAAGCCAGTTGATATCTCCTTTGATTTGGAATCAAATGATGTGTGTGTGTGTGTGTGTGTGTGTGTGTGTGTGTGTGCGTGTGTGTGTTGGGATCGTGTTTAACCTACATTAAAATTAGCACCAATGCAAAATATATACGATTTTGGGCATATATATTATAATTATATAAGTGTATGTGTGTGTGTGTGTGTGTGTGTGTGAGTGTGTGCGAGTGTATGTGTGTGTCTTATGATATGTGTAATTTACTACAGTTATTGAATTGCAATTACAAGATCTTAAGATCTAAATAAAGAATGAAAAAGAGAAGAGTTTGCAAAAACAAATTGTCACTAGGTGTTTGAACTGGGGGCGAGATTTGTTGGGCTATATATATATATATATATATATATATATATATACATATATGTATTTATGTATATGTATATTAAAAAGTGCGTGTACAGTGGCTGAATGCACATTTTAGTTCATACTATATCATGAATTGTCTATTATCGTACTTGATTCATTTAGCTAAACACTAATTAACAAGTTTTTGATCCGAATTATATAAAGCTAGGCAGCTATACGCGTATGTACAAGTTGAGTATAAACTCGTATATATATATTGTTTTTTTTTATTTGTAATATCTGCTATATTCTATATAGACTTAGGAGCTAGTTAAAGACTGTCTTTACGTTCGCTTCATGAGTGTGATTTGGTTTTTAAAAGTATTTTTCTAGTATTTTTATGTGTGCCGACTCTACCAAATCTGAAGTCGGTTGGCTTGGACTGTATTAAATATATATGCTTTATATGCTTGCTTTATTGTACCTACATAAGACTAGGGACATACATATATAAGTTGAGAACCTATGTGTTGTTCTGTATTACTCCAAATCATAGAATTTATATAAATATATATATATATGTATATATATATATATCTATACATATATACATGTATCTTGTTTTTATTTGAAATCTTTTGAATGCACCTATATAAATCTTGTTAGTTGCAGTTATTACATTGTAATAAGTATCCATTTGGGGTTTAGCTTTTTGCAGGGGCTCTGGTCTCCGGGACAAAGTTAACAAAAACGAACCTTCCCACTATCTACTTAAGATCTGGGTGGCGAGTTGTGGGGAAGGGGAGTGGGGGGGGGGCTGACTTATTGCTAAACGCCGTTACTCAAGCGATTTCTGCTCAAGTTATAAATTGAGAAAACTGTTGCCCAGAAAGCTGAACATTATGGTGGACACGGCCAAGGGTGCGACCTGCACTTGGCAGGCGGTGCTATTCCCGGCCAGAATCTCGGCACGTTTACGCATACGTTCCTGAAAGTACAAGAATTATATAATCTATAATATCTATAGGAACTGTTGTATCTATATTCTATCTAGTATCTATATATAGAATTTTTATGGCGGCTTCTATTCTGTAGTCTGATTTTAAATATTATATTATCGATCTTATCAATTGTATCTATAAGATTTGTATCTAAAGTATTTATCTATAATCTATTTAATCTATAAAATAAGTATCTAAAATATCTATAGTATCAATAATATATATTGTATCTGTAAGATAAGTATCTAAAGTATTTACATTATCAGTCCTATCTATTTTATCTATAAAATAGGTATCTAAAGTATTTACTTCATCAATTTGATTTATTATATCTATAGCGTAAGTATCTAAAGTATCTACAGTTTCATTAATATCTATTGCTGAGGGATACATATGGCATTAAATACCAATTGACTTACCTGATAAAGCTTGTCCTCGCCAGGCGGATCCAAACACTCGAATTCGCAGCATCGTTCGCCTACTCTGAAGTTTTTACAGAACTAAAAACGAAATTAAAGATAATATTTGGATCTGTTTAATTTAAAGCATTTGCGAATATCTTACGTAGGGCGGATCACAGTAAATGGCCTTGCACCACAGCGGCTCGGAATGATAGCAAACGCATAGACTACAAACACCAGGTCCGGGCACATAGAGCATGCCATGGTTCACCTTGTTACCCTGAAAGTCCACGCAGTCCTCCTCCAGCGCAACTGTTGAGGCAGTCAGACAAAGAGAGAGAGAGAGAGAGAGAGAGTGAGAGATAAGGAGAGAGTACGAAAGGAAGAGGGTGAGAGAGCACGATAGAGAGAGAGAGAGAGAGAGAGAGAGAGTTGTCTTTAATTCATATGTGAGATTGATAATTCGTAGCCTTAAACGTAAGAGATTGAAAAAGTTTAACGTTTTGAGGATTCCATTCCCAAATGTGGAATACGGGTGAAAACTTGTATTAATGATTTTAGTAATTAAATAATTTATTGATTAATCAACATGATATTTTGCAGCCTCAAGTGTTAGAGGTTGAAAATGTTTTACTCATGTTTCGAGAATTCTGACTGTGGAATAAGGATGAAAGTTTCTATTATGAGCAGTTATATTATTATTATTATCATTATTATTATTATTATTATTATTATTATTATTATTATTATTATTATTATTATTATTATTATTATTATTATTATTATTATTATTATTATTATTATTATTATTATTATTAATCAAACTTAGCTTATACGAGCTACACTACACTCACATGTCTGCAAGGGTATTCAATCTTCGGCGTGCCGAAGCTATCGTCAGCTTCTCGTGTATTTCTTTCAATTTGTTGAAACTGTTTTCAGTAGGCGTCGAAATACGCATCACTCAATATATGAGTAAGCATAAAGCATCGAAAATTCTATTTAGTTTGTTCAAGTGCCTAAACCGGAGCACTTCCTTTTGAAATTAAATTGAGTAAAAAGTTGCGATGAAAATTGAAGTGAATCAAATAATTGAAATTACACTCTTCGGACGGGTAAAAGCCTGCCAATTAATGCCATATTTATTTGTGTAAGCTTGTTTTTGAAAATATTAAATAATCATATTTAAACAAGAAATAACTAAAAAATGAAATGCAAATTAGTTAAACCCATGGTGATTATGCTCAATATTAGTTAATAACATTCAAGACAAACTATATTTCAACTACTCAACAGCCACAATTTGGGATTAATTGGTAGACAAGGGACAACAAGGAATTCTTTTCAAGCCCGGAACTAAGGTAAGTAAATTTGACGCTTTTGCAGTGCAGACATTTCATTGGAACTGCATTTGCAGCCAACTTGATGCAGATGTGCGGAGACGTGTCGTTGGGCAGCTATTCGGTCAGCAGCTTTCGACATTGTGGTCAAAGGTCGTGAAGGTTGGCTGGGACAGGCGAGCAGCTCCATCACCAAAGCGTGGTTAGGCGTGGCAAGGTAGTCGGCCAGTGCACTGGCCAGCTCCTGGCATCAGGCGATCGATGATCGCATCGTTGAACAGCAGCTGCAATCCCAGTGTGCGCACTCTGCAGATCCATCTGTGCACTGAGAGAAACGCATGCTTGCACCTCAAAATGCTGCAATTGTTGCGACTTGTGCTCGGTCAGCTATGTGAGCCACTTTTTCCTACCCAAAGGTTCTTGTGGATACACATGCTCCGGCAGCTCGTGAACAGAAACCTTCGCGATATATTGAATCCTCAGCTTCAAGATGCGACAGCGCTTTACACTATTTCGGCCAGTAAATGGCATCAGCAGGTATATTGCCTATATATCTATATATATCTATATCTTAATCTGAATCGCTTCTTTTAGCAATTGAGCAATGCTAAAGCCCAGTAACTTGCACGGGGTGCAAGCGCCTTGGACCTTAAGGTTTTGTTATCTCCAAGTAGTTGCCCACAAAGTAAGTTTCTTTCAGCTAGATAAGTTAAGCTAGATTTCAATTAAATAATGTATACAAACAAAAAGTACAATGTTTCTAAAGAACAGAAGCAGAAAAAAATAGAGCCAGCCGAAGATAAAATACTCTTATGGCTTGAAAAAACTGTTATGCGAAGGCTTTACGTCCGACCGATTGTTCCTATATAGCCATATATAGTCCAACTATATTGGGAAGATAATAAAGCATCATAGTTCTCAAGTTTGGTCAAAATAACTTCAAAATAAACGACTACAGATGCATTCGACAGAATATAAAAAAGAAAGTAAAAGATAAAGATTCTTCCTTTAGAATATTATAGTATAAAAAAACCTACGATAGATACTTCCTATAGAATATTTAAATAATATATAGCCAGACGAACAAACTCGACTATGGAGAATATATAAATGTTTGACAATCAAAGTTTGGTAAAATATCTTTAGTTTTCAACAAAAGAATTTATTTTTCGACTGATTAATATTGACGGGCATAGAGAAGCATATGTAAGGGGTCTCCGAATTTTCCTATGAGTTCTACATTTTTATACCCATAATCCAGAAAGAAGAAAAAGGCTACTTTAGCCCTATTTTCAGCTTGGCATATTTTTTCTGATATGATCTATAAAAGACTTATTTACAACTAATAATTTCCGGATGAAATCCATTATGCACTTATCTAAAAATAATTTCCTGATATAAACTATAAAAGACTTTCATTTCGTGATCAAGTCTATAAAAGACTATTCCTGCTGTTATCTATAATAAAATGAATATCAATTTTCTGATTATAGTCTGTAATGGACTTATCTAAAAATATTAATTTCTAGCAGAGACTACAAATGACTGCAGACTGTGCTGCTGTTTCCAGTTGCTGACCCAAATGTGAAAAGCGCTGTTGCATCTTGAAGGGCTAAGAAAAAATGTGCAGATAGTTGAAGAATCCAGCCCAACTAGCTGGATACCCCAACAGGAGCCCCAACCGTATTCACAGTTAAAGCCAGAACGAACATTTGATATTTGCCATGCCGCACAATTTGGGCATTTTGATCGCTTGCCTCGTCGAGCACATGTGGCAATGAGTGCAGCATTTTGAGGGCCAACCATACGATTCTCTCAATGTTCAGATGGTTCTGCAGATTGCACACACTGGGGTCGCCGCTGCAGTTCGACGACGCTATGGCCGAGGGTTAAATGTTGCTCGTTGGATTCAATCTGCCGTGTGGGAATGGAAAGGAAAATGCTGTGCCTCGACTGCTGCTCGTCTGTCCAGACCGACACGTCCTATGACTGGAATGTTGCAGGCTGCTTACCGAACAGCTGCTCCACGACGCTATCTACAGGTCTCGTACGTCATGCTCTGTTCTCCAGTAGAGTGGCAAGAGCCGAGACAAAATACTGTTCAGTCTGTTTAAATTGCGCTCCATTAAAATTCGATGCAGCCTCAAATGTATTTGACTTTTCTTCTTTTTATCCTATATTCTCGACTTGACCTGCAGCGAGACTCTTACTCGCTGGCTTTTACTCGCTATCCACATTTACTCGGACTTTCTTACTGTTGACTCTTACTCGCTGGCTTTTATTCGCTATTGTCTTTTTACTCGCTGTTGACATTTACTCGCTAATGACTTACTCGCTGTAGACTTTTACAAGCCATTGACATTTATTCTATATTGACTTAGTCGCTGAAGACTTACTCGTTGGCTTATATCGCAATTACTCGCTGTTGACCTTGACTCGCACTAATTTTTTTCTCGTTAATCATTACTCGCTATCGACCTATACTCGCACTTGAGTTTACTCGCTTTGACCCTTGACTCGCTCCTATTCGCGCTTGAATTCTACTCGCCTGCAACTGTTTTTTTTTCGTTCTTAGCTTTGAATAGTTTGAACCAAAATAAATAATTAAATTTTCCAGGTGCAGTTTCTTTAAATTTTTTAAAATTACGAATTCTTAACTCTTGGCTACATTTTTTTATAGAACAATTTTTCCAGAGCACAAACTGTGATGGAAATGAAAATGGAATGCATTTTTGTTTACAATTAAACACGAAATATTTGTAAATATTTATAAACATTCGATTTGATTCTAGGATGCGCAATAGATCAAAATAAAGTTTGACTGCGTTCGATCGAGTTTCGCACAGATTAGTTCAGTTGGGCTCTGTGTTCTAATGCAGCAGCAGCATCAGCAGACATGTTGCATGCTTGTCGCAGGTTCGTTGCAATGAGCTTTTTGCCAAAGAGCTTTTAGCATAGAACTTGGCGCATGTTTGAGGCGCGATTGCAGCTATGCTCGTGACGCTGCCAATACGAATGGGTCTCGACCTTTGGGTCTCGACCTTACCCCAACAGCCAGCACTGCTCGCCCGTCGCCGTTTGACCGTTGCCACTTACCACTTTCACCGTCAGGTGCATAGCTAAGTGCGGTTACATTTACAGTTTCTGTAGCAGTAGCTGTTGCAGTCGCTGCACACTTGAAACGCGGTTCGAAGTTGTAAGCAACTTCCGGACGACTGAACGGTCTTTGCCAACCACCGATGCGTCAGGCGTCGACGGCAGCAGCGACGGCGACGGCGACAGCGATGGCGGCAAAAGTGCCGCAAACTTTTTGCTATTCAACTTTCTGTATGCTTGTTGTTTTCTCTCTCTCTCTCTCTCGCTCTCCCTGCTGGCCAATGGGTTTTGGCAAACGAACAAAGGGCGTTTGATGAGGAGGGGGGGGGGGGGGGGGTGTGTGTGTGTGGTGGTGGCGACTTTTGGTCCGCTGCTGCATTTCGCTGCAGTTGTTTGTGCGTTTGTTTTGTCTGTGCTTTTGTTTGGTTTGCCTGCCTACATTTGTGTGCTAGCGCTGCCGACGCTGCTGTCAACGTCTTGAGTGTGTGTTGGGTGGCCCTTATGAGATCGCTGAATAATTAAAAGCGAGCGCCCGACTTTTGCGCCAGCTGTCGGCCAAGCAATTTAGCTGCTCTGGGTCAAAGTTGGGCCAATGCGTCGTATACGTCACGCGCCTTTACATTCAATTCCCCTCTCAGCCCGCACTCCCTCTGCACAGCCACTCTGCACAGCCTCTGCCGCAGTCTGTCTCTGTTTGCATTTCATGAATGTTTTTCGCTCTCTCTCTCTCTCTCTCTCGCTCTTGGTCTGTCTGTGCTTCTATGGTGACATTCCACAATTATGCTTATTACTTTTTAATGTCCGTTGGCTTGCGTGAGCCGTCGCCTGGCTGCCTTTCACAGCCACCTGACCCGCTTGTCAACCCGCCCCGCCCCTGACTTGCACCCTGATCCGGACTCGGACTGGGACCCGCTATCTCCGGCGGTGGGCAATTGGGCAGGTGGGCAGATGCCGTTTATGTGCAACCATGCGGCTCACTTATAAATAGCTTTTGTTATGACATTTAGCTGGTGACCTCCTCGAGGCTTAAACACCACATGCAGCACCCCTCAGCACCACCCTCGTGTAGGGGCGCAGCGTAAATCCTATTAAATGTAAAGTCCAGTGTTCTATTTTCATAGAAAATCAATTTCGCTGCTCATCTCATTTGACATGGACAATAAAAAGTGGATGATTACAAATTTGTAGCAAAATTTCATCAATTTTTAACATTTTTTTTTTAAAGCTCTTCGAGCTTTTATTGCGCTCATTAAAAGGCGACTTTATGTGCTTTCAGCTTGCTTAAAGCCTAAGAGCTAGAATCTTTGCTGTACAATTTATGTTTGAAGCTTAAGAGCATTTACTTAAAAACAAAATGAAAAAAATACAAAACTTTTATCGAATAACTTGTCAATAAATATAGAATACTATAGTTAAGTCAAGTTAGCTTAAAGCTAATACCACGCATAAGCTTTAAGGCTTTTAATTGGCTGTCATTGGACACGGCCAATTAGTTAGGCGCAGGAATTTGTTTTTCAATGCATGTCAATGCCATTTCAATAACAATATCGCAACGATTGTTGGCTAAATTGAAATTGTTATTAACTACTTGCATCACATGGGCTGCGTTTATTTAAAGTCAATCAATCAATCAATCAATCAGTTTAAGTCTGATATGCAAATTGAAGTTGCACTCAAATCAATTTAATTTGATATATGTTTCGTTATTTATGCTAACTTGCATACAAATTGTGCACATTAATTATAAATTGCAAGCCGATAAAAGGCTTAAAATCAATTGATTATTAATTCAGATATTGTGGACGGATGACTGCGGATTCTTGGCCCAAAAACTTGGCCTCAATAGGCTGTATATAAATTTCCGCTTGCATTTCGTTCAAATTTGTATTCAATTTCAGTTTTAACTTCAACTAAGTTACTTTAATATAAACTTCAATTGTTATTTACTTGTATTCAAATATTTGAATTGATTTTAACTTTAAGTTGGTTTATTTTCATTGGCATCAGTTTTTTTTTCTATTCGTTTTCGATTTAGTTTCAATATTAGTTCGATAGTCTTTTCAATTTATATACTGCTGCTAAGTCTTTCAACTTAATTTTCAGCTTAACTTTAAATTTGAATTTAAATTTTTAATTTAGATTTCAATTCAATCGCTGTTTCAATTTCATTTTCAGCCAGCTTTAGGTTGTTTCAATTTCAACATAAATTTGATTTCCTTTTTCTTTCCCTCTTCCTTTTCATTTTCAATTTTAGTTCAGTACAATTTCAATATAAATCGTTGTTTCAATTTCAACTTCAACCTGGTTGATGTTGTTTCAATTTCAACTTAAATTTGATTTCCCTCTTCTTTCACTTTTTAGGTTCAATTTCAATTTTACTTGGTTGCTCTTTCAATTTCAATTTCAACCTTATTGATGTTGTGTTAATTTCAACTTTCATTTGATTTCCCATTTTTTGTTTAATTTCAATTTTAGTTCAGCTGCTCTTTCAATATCAATTTTAATATGAATTGCTGTTTCAATTAGAACTTCAACCTTCAACTGTTTCAATTTCAACTGTAATTTGATATGGCTTTTCTTCTCTTTTTCTGGTTCAATATCGTTTGTAACTCTGGCCTTTCAATTTCAATTGCTGATTCGATTTGAAGTTCAACTTCAATTCGCTTGCCGCTGTTCCAATGTCAGCTTCAATTTCTACAGTAATTTGCGCAATGGCCCATTAAACTGGTCGCCAGCAAACTTATGTATTCCGAAACAGTTCATAAATGATTAGAATTGTGGTTAGCACATACAACAATACAAAGCACAACGCAGCACAGCACAACAAAACATACACGCAATGGCAAAGGCAAGTGCAAAAAGTTGGGCGTTGGGCGGCATGGGCGGCATGGGTCAGGGGGCGTGTCAGGCAGTGTCACGGCGCCGACGTTGAGTGAGTGCAGCCATCAACTTTTCAACTTGTGCCTTTCGCCGAGGACCACGGCGTGTGTATGCGTGTGTGTGTGTACGTGTGTGTGTGTGCTGGTAATCATCGGTCGTCACTAATGAGATTTTGTGGGTGTGCGGGAAAATAGCTTGGGCCAAGCAGAAGGAAACCTTCTTGTTGTTGTAGTTGTTGCCGGTGGTGAATTGTTAACGGAAGCAAAGATTATAAAACCATTTTGAATACTATGTGCAATGCAATTAGTCGAACGCGAAACGTGCCCCTGACGCATGCAATGCAAATTTTGTACGCTTTACATCCTTGCTGTCAACGTGTCGTATGCGCGTTGAGGCATGCGAGTTGAGCTGTCGTCAAACTGGCCGCAACTACCAATAATATTGCGTGAGAAAAGTCAAGCCCAAATATGCCAAAGCGACAACAAGGGGCGTTCGTTATATCTACATTTGTACTACATTATAAGCTTCTTTATATGTGCCCCGTAACGCTAGAGCTCGTTGGCGATACTCAATTGGATCACTTGATTTGTGATCGTATGGTAACTCGCTGTTACTGGTTCGGGCTAGTCACTATTTCTTCTCGCTGAGTCTACTCACAATGACTACTTGCTGCTGGTATGGCTACTCGCTTCGACTTCTCGCTAAGACCACTCGCTAGGACTCTATGGTTATTAGCAACGGCTACTTGTTATGGCTACTCGCTTGGCTTTCTCGCTAATACTAATTGTTATGTCAACTTCAAATGGCTACTCACTGCTTTTTTACTCATTTTACTCATTTTAGCTTCTCGATATGGCTACTCGTTATGGCTACTCGTTATGGCTACACGCTCCGGTCTGTCGCCCTGTCGACTCCCTATGGCTACTCCCTGTAGCTACTCGCTATGGTAATTCGTTATTGTTTCTTGCTATGGCTACTCGCTAAGACTACTCGTTATGGCTACCTCCTTTTGCCTCTTGCTAGGACCACTTGCATTGGCAAGCGACTTTGGCTTCTCGCTTGGACTATTTGCAATAGATAATTGAACGAGAAGTTTTTGGGTGTGCAGACGCGAACTCGCCAATTCAGTGATTGCCAACGAACAATTAACTGTAAACGGAACGCCCTCTTCAACACCAAGCACTTGAATTATGCATGCGTTTGTGCACAGGCTGTGAAAAGGTTTTGATTGCCCGTCCATCAACGCAATTATCGTTGTCAATTGCTATTTGGAATTGTCCTAAGGGTGTGTGTGTGTTGGTGTTTCTGTCATTTGCCCCTTTGACAGTTTGGCTGTGTAATTTGCTATTGCTGTAAGCCCAACTATCGATCCAAATTGACTCGACGAGCCATCGTCTCTTCGTCGTCCGCCCTCGAATGCATGATGTGCGGCTATTGTGTCGCCTTTGGGGCTAGCAGAGCATAGCTTTGTGTAGGCTGTAGTTAAATGTTGGCCAAAATCCAACTAATTAGTAAGTCATAAGCGGACGTAAGTGTCTAAATGGCTGAGCATGAGCCAGCGACAGCGGCCAGAACTTCTCGACCTTTGTGCCATGACATACTCGCCTAATGAATCTATCGCCCAATAACTCAATAGCTGAGCAATAAAACTTGGCATTGTGCAACTGAAGCTGTGACAGTGAAGAATTCTGAAGAGCTGCAAAAGAATTTTAGCCGCCTCGTGGGAGCGACGACAACACGTTATGCCATACCACAAAATAGTTTGCCAATAAACTTTGCCATGTGCGTCAATAACAACAGGAGGCACATAAAAGTTGTTGATATTTACACGAGTCGACAGCTGTATACCCTTTTAATCTTGGGAACTTATCGGGTATATGTTAAATTTAAAAGCCGTAATATACTCAAGTTCTTGCATTTATAGCTAATCAAAATATTTGCTTTTAAATTGAGTGTGTAAAGAGCTTCACAAAGTTTTATATGCTCAGAAATTTGAGAGCCATACGAGTTTTAAGAGTCAATTAATGAGCTTTAAAATTGAGACAGGAGCTTTAAACGCCTTAAAAGCTTTAGGAAGCTGTTGCTCAAAATAACTAAGAAATATTTTATTTTTTGCAATTAATTACTTTTCAAATTTAAAAAAAAAATAAACTAACTGTACTTCTTTTTCGGAGAGCTTTCAAAATTTTAATATAAAACAAGGTAGCTTTGTAAAAAACTTAAAGCTCTTAAGATTTTGAAATGTTTGTTAAGCTGTACTGCTACTGTTTTATCATGAAAGTTATTTTTTTAGAATATGCGAAAACTTTTCAAATTGTTAAATAATTTGTTTGTATAGTGGAAAATGAGTAGAATTACAACTGAACTAAATTCACAACTCAAAGCAACTCTTTTATGTTTTTCTTTTCCCAATTTTCCAAAACTTTTGCATTTGTATCTGGCCTAAAGCTTATGAAAATCACAGAATGAAACGATTGAGATATATCTAATAAAATTTGGAATAAATATTTGAAATATGGGAAGAGTGAAGTGGAGAAAGAAGTCTGTCTATTGCCAAGTAAAACTAAAACTGAACTTAAGACTAGAATATCGGATGCTTGAGAGCTTTCTATGGAAATGCACTATTTGTTCCCTCTAAAAAGAAGGGTATAAATAAGGTATTTGATTATTTCATTCCATTGGGTTTCTGTACTCTAGAAGTTGTCATCTATGTGCATTCGATGCGCTAATAAAAAGTTTCTTACTTGCACAGCCAGCTTGCAACTTTAATGTCGTTCGCTGCTGTTGCACAAGTGTTTCGATTTAAGTGCGGCACCTTGTGCCACGCCTCCAGCTGTCGCCGTCAGGTGCTTTGGGCGGCGACATGGCAACTGGCAACCGCGCAAACGGGCACCAAAAAAAAAAAAAAAAAAACACCCCATCGAGCCAACGAGTCGACTTTGCATGTGCAATGTCAAGGCTAAAGTCTATAGTGTTTTTTTTTTCCGGGCCCAAGCACATTTTCCCTGAACCCCAACCGCTGCGCATTCTAATGCCATTTTCATATTTTTCGATCAATTGTTTTCGTCGTTGTTGACTATTCGGCCTGTGCCCCTTGGAGCGAACTATCAAGGCTGAGTCCTTAATCTCGGCTGACAATCGGTGCGATAACGATAAAAGCCCCTTGGCAATATAAATACTTGGCTATTGAATTTATCGGCTTTGCTAAGTAGCAGTTGCCTTCATTCAGTCTTTCGGCTTGAAGAGGCAATTTGTTGGCAAGCAAATATTTATGGCCTATTCTTTATGCCCTGCACCCATTGAAGATGGCTGAAAGGGCTATAATAGTTTCATGGACAGCACGGTATATATATATATATATATATTCTTGATCAGCACGTGCTGTTCGATCTGGGAAACTACAAAAGATTCATGCATTCTGTTTACATATGCATACTGGGTTTAACAATTTATCGTTAATTATCGATATATTGTTCCATTTATGCAATATCGATCAAATGAATTTGACGAAGATCGGACAGCGAAAACAAATGTTTTAGATTGACTGAGGCTCACAGGGTATTTTGCAGTCGAGCAGACTCGCTTGCCATTGGCTTTGTGCAATGAAACGATTAAACCTCTTTCGATATATCGATAGCTACACTTAAAGGCAAAGTATGCTGATCAGCAAGGTGAGCATAATATATCGATTGCCTTACTATCGAGTGTGGGCGGGTTACTGAGTGGGCGGGGCCGTGGCATGTTAATCAAGTGTCAAGCGGCCAAGCGTGTTAATAATTACCTGTATAACAGCAGAGGCAGCTAAGCAGACACAGGACGAACAGCAGCCAGGATATGCCGCAGGCCGGCAGCGAGGCGTACAACGAGGCGCGGCTCATTCGCATTGTTGTTGTTGTTGTTGCCGCAGTTGTTCTTGTTGTTGTTGTTGTTGTTGTGCAGCGTCGACGCCAGCTCGTGCTGGGCTCATTGATTGTTGTTATTGCTGGCGTTGCTGTTGTTGCTGTTGTTGCTTTGATTGCTGCTGTTGCTGGCGGGCGCCACGTTGTTGCTGTTGGCCGCCTAGTGGAGCCCTTTGTCATTGTCAGGCGTTAATTTTGAACTTGGCGACTGCCGCTGCCGCTGCTGCTGCTGCTGCTGCTGCTGACGGTGCCGCTTCTGCAGCGCCTCCTTCTCAGCGGGCTGGTCCAACTCGTCCTTGCTGCTGTTATTGTTGTTCTTGTTGTTGTTGTTGATGTTGTTGTTCCGTCAGACTGTGCGAGTAGCTGCAGAAAGTTAAACATAGTTAAGTTGATTGGCATAGAGACAGGCTGCGCTCAGCCGTCGTTTGTTTACACTGCGCGAAAAAATCAGGGCATTCGTCAACAATCAAGGGAAATAAAAACATTTAGTCAAAAATTGGGGCAAAGAAAAATGATTCATATGCAGCCCGAGCCTTTCATGTGTGAACCCAACTAGTTTTAGCTGCTTTTCGATTTATACATTCAGTTCAGCTTTTGCTCAGAATTAACTGCAATTACTTTTTCGCTGAGTGTAATAAGCGGCTCACAGTGACTGCACTAAGTATCTCAAAGATGCTTAAATGGAGTGCATGCCAACGAAATATGTTTGCTTCAAATGGCAGACAGCATGGCGTATACGTAATATGCCAGCTGAACTGAAGCTTAGCATGCAATTGAGTTTATTCACGAGCGTGAAGTATGCTTGATATATTCAAAGTACGTGGTTGTTAGTAAGTTATATCATAAAAGATTTAAGCTACGCTCGCAGACAGCTGTCGCTGCTGGACATTTAACTGCCCAGCTGTGAGTGAGCGTATTCATGACTCTGATTGAAATGTTTATCAGTTTTGAGTTGCTAGAACATTTCCTTTTCAAACCGAAAGCAATGTTACCAGACATCTTTTCAGTTTAATAGATACACGTGAATAGCTCGCTGCTGAAATTTGAGTGTATTCATGAGTCTGCTTTCAATTTTGATTCACCAATATATGCTGAATAGGGATTATATATATTATACACACTCAAATAGCCAATTCATTCAAGGACACTCGCTCGTCAATTTGCGACTGTCAATATGCATATATGCAGGAGCGTGAATAATACTTGGCATCCTGAAACATTGATAGACTCTCGTTGTTAGTCAGGTTTTTTCATAAATAATTGGCTACACATTCAAGTTAGGCCCGGAGTACACTCGCTATCGCAGTGAGTGTAAGGTGGTGTAATGTCTGCAGTTGATGAATAAGAATCAGAGCACAATGAATATATTATTAAATGCGTGTGCATTCATTCAAGCATTCGTTGGCACACTCGTTATTTCGCTTAACTCAAAATCTCTCGCTATACAGTTAACATTATCCTTGGTAATATTACAGCGTACAAATTTCAAGAGATTCAATTGAATTCGATTGTTTATTTACTCGCTGGCGTGGCACTCGCTACTTGTTTACTCGCTACTTGTTTACTCGTTGCTTTCTGCATTCTGCTGCAGTGTGTTGACAATTGACAGAAGAGTATTGCCGATTCTCACACTCTTTGGCTTTCGCTCTCGCCTCAGGCCTCTTTGACTGTGTGTGTGTGTGTGTGTGTGTGTGTGTGTGTGTGTCACATGCATTTTGCAGCGCGTGCCAATGTGGCCCAAAGGCGAATCAGCTGTTCCGTGTGCTGCTGCTGCTGCCAGCGCCTTTGGCAGCGGCGTCCGCGTCAGCATCGGCCTCGCATGTTTACAACATTTTTGCAGCGCCCCAAAGGGTTGCCTGCGGCCGGGGCGGGGCGGGGTGTATTGTGTATGGGGATGGGCGCGAAATGCGGGTGCGGCCGCGGGCCAAGCATTTCGGCATTTCGCTTGTCCCATGCAGTCGGCAGTTGGGGCAGCTGCCAAGAATTTGTTTGCGCTGTCTTCTTTTTGGCTCTTGCGGTTGCTTTCTAGGCATGTGAGACACACACACACATACACACACAGACAGACATGCACACTGTTACACGTACACATACATAGAAAGCGCTTTTTGGTGTCTTTAATTTCAATCTTATAAATTATTCGCATAGCTCGACTGCGACGAGCTTCACAGCGCGCTTTATGGATTTTCTTTGGCTCTGGCCAAACACACACACACACACATACACGCACATACACACATACACTCGGCACGCGCATTGATTTTCTCTTATTTGCCGTTTTTTATTTGTTGTTGTTGTTTTCTTGGCCTGTTTTAGGACATTTCAAGGCCTCTCTTCTACTTACATCTCACGTAAATGTTTTTTTTCACTTTGACACCAAATTTCGCACGCGAGCACTAAAAATACTTAAAGCAACAGCAATAATAACAACATGAACTAACAGCAACAACAACAAGAACAACAACAACAACAGGAATACACAAATAAAAGAAACGCCGAAAAATATATATAGATGTTTACACACACACACACACACGCGCGCACACAGACGCGCACACAGACACGCACACATGAAAACAAAACAAAAAGCACACAACACAAATTTCGCTTCCACCTTCCACACACGCGCCCCACAACGCACGTTGCCGACAAAATGGCGAGTGGAACGGAATGAAGCGAATGGAGCGAGAATCTGAGCAGCAACAATGAGCAGCAGCAATTGGCGTAAAATGACAACAACAACAACAACAATAACAACAACAATAACAACAACAATAACAACAATAGCCGCAGCAAGAACAAGCCTTGGCGCCTCACACTGCAGCGCGTCCTTTTTAACGACTTTTGTTGCTTTTGTTTGGCGTATTGCTTTCGATTTTATTGTTGCTGCCGCTACAAATACTGCTACTGCTACTGCTACTGCTACTGCTACTGCTACTGCTACTGCTACTGCTACTACGAAATGTAAACTTAGCGTCCACAACGAACCGAGCTGAGTGCCGAGTCGAGCGTTGCCAGCAACTGCAGCGTCGCGTTTGCAAATGTCAACTGAAATGACGTTTGCGGCTGCGATGCCAAAGCCAACTTGTGCGTTGCAACTGTCGAACATGTTCGACAGCGATATGTTGCAATGGCGCGTGAGCCAGTGCATTTGCCATATTTAAAATAGTATCAGTTTGAACATCAGGCTATAATTTTGTTTTCATATTCATGTTTTTCAGATATATGGGCATATATTTATTTTAAGTTAGTTGATTTTGAGTTGATTCGTGTCACGCACGCGGCTCGAGCACACAAAGTCTTCAAATCGCAAATGCAACATGTTGCAGGAGCTTGACAAACAAAGCTCTGAAAGCTATGACTGATGGGTTGTGGAGCTGGCAAAGCTGCTGTCGCTTTCGGCTTTAAGCAATAGCTAAGAACCCAAAAGGTTTCATAGCCCGGCAATTGTAAGTTCCCAAGTCACAAGCGATTTGAGTGAAAGTCTTTAAAGCTTTTAGCTTATGCTTACAAAAGCTTATAGAAAGCTTTCGTTTGTCCTGGTTTTGTTTCGTATTGCATAAGATGCAAACCTTTGTAAAGCTCTGAAAGTGCAAGTCATAGACTGAAGGCAAGAACAAGTTATCAAGCTCACAAATATATGCGTTCTCTTGACTCCTAACAGGGGCTCGAACCCAAAACTCTACCCATGTAAGTTGAAATTGAAATTTTAAGTTTAAAATTATCTTTGTTTTTATACCCTGAACCCATTAAAAATGGGTATAAGGGTATATTGTATTTGTGCAAAATCCAAATGTATGTAACAGGCAGGAGGAAGCATCTCCGACCCCATAGAGTATATATATTCTTTATCAGCACCAATAGCTGAGCCGATCTAGCCATGTCCGTCTGTCTGTCTGTTCGTCTGTCCGTATGTATGAACGCAAGGATCTCAGAACCTATAAGAGCTAGAGAAATTTTAGATGTAGATGCTCCTAGTTCCCGCGCAGATCGAGTTTGTTTCCGATAATCGAAAACTTGTTCCGTTTCCAAGCAATCGATAAAAATCGATATCGACATCCTGTTTTTTTTAGCAAATTGGGTAAATAATAAGAGAGTCACCAAACTTGACATATAGCTTTTAAAATAGAATATATGTATGCATTTGATGTTGGAAGAAGAAAAGGGAGCTCCCGACTAGAACCTCTTACTTGTTTAATATTATGTTCATGCAAATGGCTTGGGTATGCAAAGTAAGTATATTGATTTAGATAAGGCTACCTATTTATATGGCTTGAATAACTCCAGTGGAGAGAGCTCGATTGGGACAGTACTTCGTTTAGCATAATTTAATGAATCTCACTTGAGATACTCCAAAAAAGGTGGACTTTGCAAGCGAAACGTTTTTTGGCCAACAACTTTTTTTTAATGAATGCCATATGATAGTAGGGATCCGTACGCATTCAAAAAGGTATAACATTTTAAAATGAGATTATATTTACCCGAGATTTAAAAAAAAAACGTCAAACATGTTGAGATATTCGAACCCACCCCGATTTTGGAAAAAAACGTGATGTAACCCCTTGCTTTTTGGTCGATTTGGCTCAAAATTTAGATTTTTATTTTTCTGATGCCAATCGATAGTACTAATCCTTACGAGTCAAAAATAGTATAAAGTTCCAAAATCTGAGATTATTTGGCCGAGATAGTCTAAAAAAATTATCAAACACGGTTGATTTTACAAACGAAACGTTTTTTGGTCAACAACTTTTTGCAACCCATCAATTTTTAATTTGTTTGAATGCCGTATGATAGTAGGGATCCGTACGAATTCAAAACGGTATAATATTTTAAAATCAGATTATATTTACCCGAGATTTTCAAAAATATATTCAAAAAAGTTTTCATATTCGAACCTACCCCGGGTAATAGCTCTCGGGTAATAGCGCGGATATGTGACGCTCCAAAACGACATAACTTCCCTTGGAGATATGACGCTCCAAAACGACATAACTTCCCTTGGAGATATGACGCTCCAAAACGACATAACTCCACGCGGAGTTTTGATGATTTTTTGGAATATTTCCATCAAATAATGTCCGATTTTGCAATTTCACACCATTTTTGACTCGTAAGGATCAGTTCTATCGATGGGCGTCAAAAAAAGGAAATCCAAAATTTTGACCCAAATCGACAAAATGGCAAGGGGTTACATCACGCTTTTTATTTTTTTAATTTTTCGATGATTATACCCTGAACCCATCAAAATACACCAAATGTATGTAACAGGCAGAAGGAAGCTTCTCCGCAAGGATCTCAGAACCTATAAGAGCTAGAGACTTGAATTTTTAGATGTAGGTCCTCCTAGTACCTGCGCAGATCGAGTTTGCTTCCGATAATCGATAACTTACTCCGTTTCGAAGCAATCGATAAAAATCGATATCGATATCCTGTTATTTGGGCAATTTTGGTAAATAATAAGAGCTAGAGTCACCAAAGTTGACATATAGCTTCTAAAATAGAATATATATATGCATTTGAGGTTGGAAGAAGAGGGTTCAGGGTATCCCCTAGTCGGGAGCTCCCTACTAGAACCTCTTACTTGTTTATTTCTGGTAAAAGGGAAAAGAAAGTTAAATAAACTAATCTGAAAATTGATAATTGCTGCTGGGCTTGAACTGGCGACGTCACATTTGTTAGTTCGACGCGCAGATAAATCAAATAAAAAAGACAAAAAATTTATAAATTTACGGGTGTGAGTCCATACGCTCAAGTTAACCAACCTTTTGGCCGCGTTAAGATCTGTAAAGCAAATATACCTCTTAAAAAAAAACTTTAGATATAGCCATAGCTTTCGGAATTAGTTTGGAAATTATTTTATTTCAATATATTTCATATTAATCAGTAGTTCATATTTTCTGCTCTTCATGTTTTCAACTTTTACACAAAAATACGTGTGTGTGTGTGTGTGTGTGTGTGCTTGTGAGTGTGTGTGTCTGTCTGTCTGTGTGTGTGTGCGTGTGTGTATGTGTTCTGTCTGTGTAAGTGAATGAGTGCGGCGAGTACTCGATTGCCATTTTGAGTATACCATGGAGTGTGCACAGTTTGTACTCGTACTCGCTTGTACTTGCCCAAATATCTGTGTTGGACATAACTTAAATGTTAAATACAATTTCTCATTTTGAATATTTTCGTTTAAATGCATTTCAGAAAAGTTTCAGTATTATTTTAGTATGTTTCTTTGTTTTTCTTTCTGCTTTCTTTTATTCAATATTTATTTGTTTGCCTGTTAGTTTTTCACTCTGTTGTGTTTGGAGATTTGCTTTTGCTTGTATGGGTTATCAAGTAAATATTTTATATACTATGATCATTTTTGTGCTCTTCTTCTTTTTGCTGGTATATACCAACCTTTGCGAATCTCTCTCCAAATGGTGGGCACAACTTGTGTCCACCCCACAGTGTGTCTCGTTCGAATTCATGTATATATATATATATATATATTTAATGGTTGCGCAAATTTCTTTAAACGTTTTTGTGAATGCATTTAACTTTATTCATTGTACACATAGATTTCATTTTTATCTTTGGTATTTGATCATCATAATAATATATACTTGTGTTCATTTTGAATGATTCTTTGGGTTCGATTTGTAACAAGTCATACTTGTTGTGTGTGTGTGTGTGTGTGTGAGAGTTTCTTTCTTTTATGTTGCTTATCTCCTTCCTCTTCTTCCTCTTATACTTCCTCTTCTTCTACTTTTCTTTCCATCTTTGTGTGGGTGCTGTACTCATGCCGCTTGTAAATAGTTTCCAACTGCATTTATGCTTTTAGTATTTTTCTTTGCTTAGTAAATGTATTTTTTTTTGTATTTTTCTTTATGGTAAACTGGGAAAAAAAAGATGCATGCATATACATATAAATATACACATATATATATTTGTATTATTTTGGTATTTTTTTGTTCTGGTATTTTTTTGTTTTGTTTTTTTTTTTTTTGATATTTTACACTTAATCTTTGCTGCTGCTAATATATTTGCCACTTATACAACACATTGTGCACAAAGAGTTTTAGTATTTTTCTTTCATATATGCTGAATTTAGTATTTATTTATATGTAGGTGTGTGTCTGTCTGTCTGTGTGTGTGTGTGTGTGTTGAATAGTCGTTTATATTTTATGTAGTATTAGTAGTTTTCCTACCAGTCGCGCTAGTTGCTGCCACTTTTGTATAAGTATTCCATATAATTGATTCCATATCATTTTTTTTTATATATTATATATATATATCTTTATATATCTTTTTTTCTTCAACAATTTCGTAAGTTTTGCTCAGCGTACTCAATGTTTTTATTTTTTTTTTGGTTTGCTTTCATAAATTTTGCTTAAAAATAATAACTATTTTTCTTTTAGTATATATATATATTTATTTAGTTTTTTCTTTTCTTTAATATAT